CATAAATTACAAAAGCTCTCGCCATTCACCCCAAGCAGGATGGCATGGGTTAGTGTTCACCGTCCCTCCCCAGCACTGGGCTTCCCTCTAAGTGGTTAAATGGCCTCCTGAAGGCAAAGCCTGTCCCCTACTCCCACAGCCTGCACGGCCGAGCACACAGAAGGTCCCATTCCCTGGATTCCCTGGGGAGCTCCTCCCAGCTGATGGTAACACAAGATGGCCTTTGAATTCTCGAGCACATTTCCACCGCGGTCTATCCATTCAACAAGCATTTCTAGAGCACCTGCTAAGTCACAGCCTTGGGTTATAGATTAAAACAAAACAGAGGAGTCTGGGGGGCTCAGTCAGTAAGCGACCGACTTCAGCTCAGGTCATGATCTCATGGTTCGTGGGCTCGAGCCCCGCGTCGGGCTCTGTGCTGACATCTCAGAGCCTGGAGCCTGCTTCGGATTGTGTCTCCCTCTCTCTCTCTGCCCCTCCCCAACTTGTGCTCTTTCAAAAATAAACAAACATTAAAAAAAATTTTTAAATAAAAAACAAAACTGCCTCTAATTCAAGGAACTCATGATTTTATTGAAAAGACAGTGAATAAACATTTAAGTGAGCAGGACTGAGCTGGCCGAGGGGACCTCCATCCCGCTGGAATGGAGGCATCTGAAAGAGTCCCTGGAGGAGCGGACCACTGACCCCAATCCCAAGAACAGCAATGAGCTGGCCCGGCAAAGAAGAGGGCAAGAGCCTGGACCACGGCCTCATCTAACGCACTCAGGGAATGTCTTCCCTCATCCCCCACGCAGCATCTTTTCGGATGATACAAATAACTTTACTATTAGTCTACGAACAGTATCGTCAAATAGGTAATACAGCCTCAAAAATAATTAGATGACGACGCATTCTGAAGGGAAAAAAAAAATCAATGTGCTTTTGACTGTTCTTCCATTAGGGTGATGACCTGGCTGCCACCTCCCGCTCCAGGCCTCTCTTCCGGCTCTGTGGTCCCAGGCTCCAGCCACTCAGCATCACATGGCTTCACGTCCACGTGCCTTTTTCGCCTTAGCCTGGATGCTCTCGTCCATCTTGGCTGGTCAATGAACCAATCCCCACCCCCCCCACCCCACCCCACCCCCTGCCACTTCACATCCAGTGAAACATCCCCTGCTCTCTGAAGTGCCCCTTTGCCTCGTCTGTGCCACTGGCCTCGACTGGATCGACCTCATAGGCACCGCTCTTGGCTTCACTGCCTTTCCTACTGGACAGGAAACACGGGAGACAGCAGTTGGGCCTTATTAATCTTTTCATCTCAGGGGTCTAGCACGGTGCCTGGCCCAGAGCAGGAATATAAGAAAAAGTGCCTGCTCCAGGAATGAAGATAATCGAGGGTAAGCATGTGCTACTAAATGGGGCTATGAAGAAGCAAACTAAGACCATGCACTCTCAGGATTTCTAATCGAGTGTCAAAGCCTTTCACTAAACTCACACATTTATACCCTAACTGAAGCTATAGGTCCGTCTGTGAAAGACCTAAATTGGTAGTGAGGGAAAATGTTTAAGCCTATGAAAAAAATATGAACTTAGAAAACTTACACTGGCCCTGCCTAACTCTCAAAGCTACCTTGCTTCTGTTTCTTTGGAGGAAAGAAGAAAAATCAGGTTGGAACAAACCAATCAGTGGAGCATTTAGCAGAACTTTATGTTCGGGCCTGGGCAGGCACCGCGGATGTCCACATATACTGATTCCCGATTCAAAGTCAGACACAAAGAAAGCAAAACGAGAAGCAGAGAACGTCAGATTTCCTCTCGCATCCCAGCCTGACTTTTCCTGAGCTCTGCCTGACTTTCCTTTCAGCCCTGACAACACTGGTTTATTCTCACACCAAATGACACCGAGTTTCCCTCGGTGTCAGCCTCCTACTGCTTTCACAAAGCCTTCTCTGACTTCTCTAGCCCACATTAATTTTTCTCTTTTCTGTATTCTTATGGAATTTCTTGTCTGTGTAATTAATTTTGGCATTAAATCACAATGTCTTATACTATTATCTTTTCTTAAGAGTTTATCTTCTCTATCCCAGAGAGAGTCTGCAAGATTTTGAAGGATCACGTTTCGTATCTCTAACGATACTATACTGGGCATACAGGGGGTGCTTAATAAACACAGATGGACTGACGCGGTACCATTCTGGCAGGTGTCCAAGTTCTCTTTGCTGACACACAGGCCAGTGACTACCATCTCAAGGTCAACCACATTCACCAAAGAGCAGGGACACGAAAAGAGGCACAGAGTGCGACATCTGCCACGGGAGAGGGCCGTCACGACCAGAGGTGATCATCCAAAGGCACTGGGCTCCCTGAGGTGGTCTCAGAAAAGCTATCCTTCCCCCAAGGCGTGAGCATCTGCGGCTGAGCCCAGAGAATCCCATTTTCTAGGCTTGGGTTCAGAGATGGAATGTCTGTCCTTAAAGAGCCAAGGCATGGGAAGGCAAGGGCTCTGGATGTAAACTGGGCAGGAACACACATGAGCAGAGGCCATAAATCCCTCCTGGGACGCAGACAATGCCTCAGTGATAAGCATGCAGATTGCACACCTAGTTCAGAAACTCCCCTGAGTTTGCTTGTAATTAAGGGGGTTAGAAAGGTAAAAAAAAATATATAAACCCAATTAATCATTTAAATATTTAAAGTCAGATTTTTTCCTCACTCCGGGATTAGTATATTTCATAACGCCAGCAGCAGACAGCCCTGGTTTTTACTGGGGTTCATTTTAGAGCATGTTTAAACTAGTCAGATTGAGTGATGCTTCCAGCAACTAATCGCATGTCAAATAAAAGATATTTTATGTAATAAATTACCGCTACAAGTAATTCAAATGTCATTTATCAGTTTTATTATCAGTCAGGCAAAGTCTTGTTTCTCTATATTAATCAAAATCAAGCTTTTTTTTTTTTTTTTTTTTTTTTTTTTTTTTTTTTTTTTTTTTTTTTTTTTTTTTTTTTTTTTTTTTTTTTGAGCAGTTTTGACACCTCTTGGCAAAAGTACAGGAAGTGAAGAGGTAGAATCACCCCCGGAGCTGTAAGGAACTGTGTGGCGGTACCAGAGGCATGAAGCTCAGCAGTGACGAGCAGAAACTTCAGGGGTTTAAAATTGCCATTACCATTGTTTTTATACTAGCGTCAAAGCAGGAAGGAGTCTGTCTCTGAGAAGATGTATTTTATTTTTAGGGCTGGGAGACTCTTAAAAATACTCCTACCTAAATACCTAAACGTGTAATGCTTTTTCTCAGAGAGACCTGGACAGAAACATAATTTAAATGACGGCCCTGCCTCTCCCCAGCCCTTTCTTTCACCTCTTTCAGAAGGGCCGACAGTTTAAATGACCCTCTGTGTCTACCAAAAGTAGGTGCACGCATGGTGTTTCAGGCCAACTCCGTGACCAACCAGAAGAATTTGTTCTGAGCAAGAAGTTTCCAAGTAGCCGAGAGACCTGCATGGTTTTAAGCCATGGAGGAAACAGCTGGAATAGAACAGATGTGCATCTCAGAAAATTCTACACCCCAGCTGCCACTGCCTGTCCTCAACAAATCCCATTAAATGGCTGGGCCCAGGGACGCAAGTAAAGAAAGTGTGGAGACCTAGCCCTTGGTTAAAAGGAAACGCAGAGGGTATGTTCAGTGACCCAAGACAAACGCGACAGATCGGAAAGAATGCTGGCCAGGGAGGAGAAGTGAGGCCCAGGCTGACAAGTAGTTGCTACCGACTCAGAAGCTCCAACTCAAGGCCCACCGCTGAGCAACGTTTCTCGGGTCCCAGAGGTCACGTCACGCCGGTGTCAGCTAGACACGGTGGCCACGGGGGAGGTGACACTGACAGCAGCGTGCTCACTTGGCCTCACCCATTCAGCCTCACCCAGAAAGTGAAAGAAAGGACAGATCTAAATGAGGTCTGTGACACCCCGGCCCCTGCAATGTCTGGGCCAGCAAGGGGGACAGCAAAGCAAGGGTCGGAAGGTAGCTCCTGACCACGTGGGAAGGGTCCAAACAAGCCTGGCATTTAAAGCCATGCCTTTCAAAATCTGATCTCTACCACGGTTTTAAATTAACGTGTTTTGAAAAAATAAAACTTCTGAGATAGACAATTAAAATGAAGACAATTATAGAAAAGGCGCTTTGAAAGACAACGGATCCAAGGCTGAGTTACATTAAAGACACGAATCTTGAGCTGTTTTCCAACACTCTGAAGTCAATGTTAACCTTTTTTATAAGTGATTTCAAGATGGGGTTCTGGCTGTAATTTGAAGGTTTGTACATTTATTACTAGTTTGAGGAGCCTTTATTCCTCAAACAGCTTTCACTTAAAAACAACGTGGGTCATGTTCTCATGTAATAATTAAAAGCTACACTCAAAAAGGACCTTTACGTTTAGTCTGAAATTGTCTAACAGACTGTCAACACATAAATATACATGATGTAGCCAGGACGAGGGAGGGAGGGAGGGAGGGAGGAAGGAAGGACGGACGGACGGACGGACAGACGAACAGATGGGCAGGTGGGGGGTGGGTGGGAGACATCACCCTAAATCTAGTAATATTAACTTTAAAAAATAAAATTAGGAGAGAAGGGATTTCAGTGAGCAAGCGAGAATGCAGTCACGAATCAGGCGTTCATGTTCTTATTCGTGGAAGAGTGACATGCAAAAGCACCATGTAAGAAACTGGAAACAGAACCAAGAAATATGTCTACAGATTCTTGCTTGTAACCCAAATACATGAAACAACACAATACACTCCTTTATTCTGGTCCCCTGTCTCTTCTTAAACCTTTGTCACATATTCAAAAGTTTTTCTAGGAGAGGATCTGGGTGTGCCACGTTCTTCTGGAAAAACCCAAGAGCTGTCTGCCCGTCCCAGTCTCTCTGCTTGAGGAGTCTGGGAGATGGGAAGCACCGCTCTTTGGCCGGAATCCTCAACCCCAGTCAAGGTTACAGGAGGCGTTTGAGCGGGTGACTTACTGTACGGCTGAGAAATGAGGTGAGGGGGCTGGACGGGAACCACCTGTGTGCCCGGCCCCAAGGACGGAGGCTCCTCGGCAGCCGTGCCCGACTGCTGGAAAGCCAAATCGATCTCTTCATCTGTCAGCCCTGGGGGAGAAGAGGACAAAATTGCAGGTGAATACCTTTTGCCACTGTCCATGGCCGCAACGAAATCTTCATTGAGAAACGACCCTTCGAGCCACAGAGTGCCTAGCATCCTGGTAAGTTTCCTCCCCGATTTCGGATTCTCCGGAACCTCTCCCGGTTGCAATTTAACCTTAAGCGACAGAATATTAGCCTCAACACTGCTTCCAAATGTGGCTCATTCAATTTCCTTAATTTATCCTTGAGTTTATTGCTGCTTCTGAAGTCGCTCCGTACTGCAATTCTCCATTCTTCCCCCGAAAACAGATACCATCAACTGCAAATGTGGCTCATTTTAATCTGTAATGGTGTTAAAAAAAGAGGGGAAAAAACTAACAATAATGCATGAAAACAGACAGGGAAACAAAAAACTAATTATTGGGTGAGACGACTAATTAGTCTCGATCGTTTCCGAAGACGGGAATAATTTGCTTTATTTTATGACAAATGCAGAAATAAAAAGAAAAATCAGGACTGACTGTGATTAGTATGAATGGGATATAGAATGTAAAGAAGAAAATAAAACAAGAAAACAGATCAAAACAAGGCCAGGCCCAAACTTTCAGATGGTTATTGCTCCAGCCTCACACAGGCTGCCTGTACTGCCTTTGGCTAGCTTTTCTGCTTCCCTTTGTTTTAATCCTCCTGACACTAAAGCACACGGCTTGGGACGGCAGGGTATAGCAGGGCGCCATCTGCAGTGGCTACAGCCTGGGCAGACGACCCGCCCAGGGAAGAGCACAAGGCCGGTGAGTGCCCGCGAAGACCCTATTTCCACTGGGCACATAGGGCTGTAGCCAACAGGGGCCCCCGGCTCCGTGGGGAGAAGACGTGGGTACCAGCCAACCCGGAGCACAGGAATGAGGTGTGATGCACAGGCATGAAACTTCCCTGTGGGCCGGGCCCGAGAAGTGGGTACAGGGGGTATGAAAACGCATGGGCCGCCAAGAGCGGGCGGGGAGGTCACAGGCAGCCCTCAAAGACCACTCTGGCCAGCCGTGCTGCTCCAGGAATCCCAGGATCCAGTGCGGCTGCCTCATAAGGCTCTGAAACGAGAGCCGAGAGCTTTTCCCCATCTGGTCGGCAGCTCTCCATTAGAGGCCGCATCACGGTGTATCTGCCCCCGGGGGTACATGAAGTACAAGGAGCTTCAGAGGGTCAGCATCTTCCAGAGTGCGCTGCCACACGCTCTGTGCCCAGGGGCTAATAGATGGGGCGCATTAATGCTCCGGAGCACAGGGCTGCCCACACCTCACTGGCCCGTAGCTGGCCAAGCACCTCTGCAACGTTTCAGTCCTAGGTAAGTAGTCAGGGAGAAGGCCTGAACTACTCTGAACGGCCCCGGACCCTGTCTCCCTCCCTCTGCTGAGTGGCTGAGGGCTGGCCCCATCTAAAACTGCAGCTCTGTCCCTTCCCCCTCAGCACACAGAGGAGCCAGCCAGTGGTGGCCAAGGCCACCCCGCGGTGAAGCCCGAGCGCTGCTGGGGTGGCCCCCAGCACACCCCGCTCTCAACAGACTGATGAGGCTCTCAACAGGCTGGCACTGAGCGCCTTCAAATACAAAAGCTACCCCTGAGGACGCGGGGCTATACGGGGGAGGGGGGTGGGGGGTGGGCGGTGGGGGGTAGGGGGTGTTCCTCCTCCCATACAGCCCAGCTTGCTCTCAAGGCCTCCCGAGAAAAACGGGCTGGACAGAAGGAAAACCCACGAAGCCCGGGCATGTGCTTCTCGGGCTCTGTCCAGCCTGAGAGTGCCCTCCAGTCAGCTTCTGAAGAGGGCGGGGAACCCCTTGCAGGGCTCCAGCAGGGGAGGCCCACTCTAACCAGCTCATCATCAGCTGCTCGGAGCCGTGCGCGCGTGCGGCGTCAGCTCGAGCTCGTGGTCACTGGTACGCTACGGACTTTCATAAACCTGGTGGTTCGTGTGCCTCGTCAGCCGCTGGCTGCAAATGAGGATAATTTTCCCAAAAGGAGCATTGAGTTGCATTCTCATTTTCCCTTCTGGCTCTTTCAAATATAAACAAGTACGATAATGTTTAGCGCTGGGGAAATCTACAGTAAGTCACGGGCTGTGCCGCGGCCCCGGGAGCTGCAGCTGGTTAAAGGGACAGCACTCCCTGCCCGCGGCTCTGCCCTCTGGCCCTGAGCTTTTACGGAGCCTATTTTCCTAATAAAACATGTTCCTTGCATTATTGCAGCCGAGCCCACCAGTGAGGCTGTGGTTTAAAGGGCATCAGCACTTCCTTCCAAGCTCTTGTTTTTCAGAGACCTTATCATTTGATGCTCTAAATTTACATTGGCTGGAATTCTGATATCCCTAGTGCTCCGGAGGGCTGGGACTTTGATTTAGTTACATAAAATGAATCACTTTTCTTCTTGTAAAAAAAAAAAAAAAAAAAAATCAGCATTTTCATGATCTCACTGAATAATATAATTTCAGAGCTGGACCATTATCCCAGCCATTGTATTCATTTACCAGATAAAGAACAACAACTAAGACCCAAGGAAGGTGAAAACGTGCCTCTGAGCACAGCAGTCAGGGCGTGGTGCTGCCCCCCAACCCCCACAGCCCAGGGCTTTGGCGACTCCCCCCACCCCAGCACAGAAACTACACAGGGAAGGCTCCGAAATTCCGTCCTAAGTCTTGAAGCTGGTGAAAGGTTGAGAGAAGCACTAAATGGTCTTTCTCACCCCCATACGGCACCCCAGCCTCGGGTGAGAGCCGACCGAACGCCCGGATCCTATCTGCAAATGACACCCGGGCAACTTTCTGAACGACCCCAGAGAGACAAGGGCCGAGCGTCCCTGCCTCGTTCTAATAGTCTAACTCCCAATAAATCCTAAGCCGTCTCACAGACGGCTGCCTGTGCCTCCCTTAGTGTCGTCTCCATCGGAGTGCCCAGGCCTGGGGAGGACAGACCAGGTTCAGGACTCTGTGCACTTCAGGTAATTCATCCGGGACTCACAGTCTCGGCAGGAAGGGAGGGGTATTCTCTTTCAGGACCCAGCCGTTACCTACCCAGTCATGGGCTCCCAGTCCTGAAACAAGCCTGCCTTCAGGGAAGAGGGGCTGGCATGGGACTCACGCGGAACATCCAGGTTCCCACCCATCCCCACGAGACAGATGGTGGAGAGCTTAGATGGAGTCCTTGCAGAACCCAAAAGGTTAAAAGGAATAATAAAGGAAACCGCCAATTGGAAGTGAATTATATTTGCCTGTGAACGCAGAGGCACTGGCTATATTATAAAAGGCATCTCTTTGCGTTGTTTACCATCACCCTGACTAATGCAGACCTTTTTTTTGTTGTTGTTTTAAATAATCTCATGCAAATTAGACACACACACTTCCTTCCAGTTGATTGCTATCTGCAAGGAATAATCTAACCGCAGAGGGACCCGAGCAAGGGCTGAGCAGAGCAGACATGGGGGTGAAGGGTGTCGCCGTCCTGTGGCAGGCAAACCTCCTCCCTTTCCCTGGCTGCCTCAAGTCTTCCTTTCGCTGCTGCCTTCTGGAGAATTAGCCAATTTCAATAAAGCCGAAAATCTCCCTTAGTTGGGGTGTCAATTTGCATCATCTGATATCATCAGCCCTTTGCATTTAGATGCTTTCAGTAACTTCACCTCTGCCACTTGCCAATTCCAAGAGCTATCAGCCCTGGTCTGTGACAATTAAAATATATCGCTGATAGAGAGTAAAACTAAGAAAGTCCCGCTCAGTTATTCCACCCGCTCGCTAGCTTTGGCCGATAGGAAGAGAAAGGGGCGAGGGCACCTGTCCCAAGTGAGCAGGAAGCCAGGACGCCTGCCTCTGAGAGGCAGGGCCATTTCACCCATGAGGCCACAGCTGCCTGAAGGGCAAAACTGAGAGCTCTCAATTCTGATCGTGCAGGTGAAGGTCGTGAGCACCCGGAATCAGGTGGACGTCTTGTTCTTTCTCTTCTCTGGAATCTACTTTCAGAGCAGTGCCCTTCCCAAGGAGACACTGCTCCTGTGCAAAAGCTGGGCCAAAGACTTCTTTTCCAACACTTTCTGGGGGGGGGGGAATCTTTTAAAAGAACTCCAGTGAGCAAGCTACAAGCTATTGACTAATAAAGCCCCACAAGCTATTGACTAATAAAGCCCCGTTTTACTGCTGCAGCAACTGAAGCAAACGGCCTCGGGGTGCCACACCTGCTTATCTGTATCCCCTAGAAGACAGATTTGTTTTCTTTTTCTAAAGAAAAATGCAAACAAAACCAAACCGGTTGACTCCGTGAGCCGCAGCCTACAGGCTGGGAGGCGCTGCTGCGGGTCCTTTTGCACGGACTCAGACAAAACTGGGCACTGGGAAGAGCTGCCTTTTTCCTGCGGTACTGGCTGTGCAAGGGCTTCTCAGAATAAGTCACCTCAATGTTGTCCCCAGTGACCGCTGAGCACTGCCACGGGGCCTGGCCCTGTGCAGGTGAAGCAGAAAGACAGACGACAGCAGACAGCAGTACTGTCTGCGTCTTTTAGGTCAAACAACACCAGGGACATAGGGCTAGGAATAGTTTGGAAATGAGCAAGGTAATGAACGCCCGACGGCACCTTCCAACCTGGCCTGAGTTTTATAATAAAAACATCAAGTCTGACTGGGATCAGGGAACGGGCCAGAGGGCCTGCGACAAAGGGTGGCGGCTGCGGGCTGGCCACTCGGGCCATCCACCTCCCCCATCACAGTTCCTCCATGTATGGGACTCGGGTGATTCATCTGGGACGCGCGGAGACCGTGCGGGGGTCACCTCTCTGAGAACACCACTAGTTATCTCCCAGTGCACACACTCTGAGAGGAGATGAGGCAGAGAAGACAGCTGGCTAAAAATACTCCCCAAATTAAAAGAAAAATCAACTCTCTGAGAAAAGCTAGGGGAGGGGAAAGGGGGAAAAAAGTGTTTTTATTTTATTTTATTAACATTTTGTCGGAAAGGTAGAGTACAATAAGGACTC